TATCAATCGAAAAAAGCAAGCTCTGAAAGGATGCATATAAGGACGCCCAGCACAGTACCATGTTATACACTGTTATTGATGCATCTGTATATAGCTGACAGTAAAAGCACAGACAAGAAAGATAGCCACCAAATTCAAGACAGGGTTTACCTTTGGAAAAAGAAGAGTAAGATTAGAGTTGTGGTACTTTAAAAGTGTATGTAACCTTTTCTTTCTTTTTAAAGCAAAGGAAATATGAAGTAAATTTGGCAAAATGTTGCAACTTATTAAATCTTAGTGGTATCCACAACAGGCATCAGTATCCTCTGTACTTTCAATGTTCCAAATATTCCAAAAATTAAAAATAAATGTAGCAAATGTAAAGGTTATCTGGGTAAAGAATACTTCCCACTTCTCACTAAACCAATTTTCTATGACACACAGTACTTACAGAATTCCAGTTTAGTGTAAAAAAAAATGTAACGTATTAGTGTTTCTATTTTGTTTTGGGGTAATCAGTCCTACAAAAATTTCTTAAAGTGGGGATTTAATTTCTCACAAGAGCATCACCAGCTCAGGTATGTATGGGCTACCTGGGTTGCACAGCTCCTACCAAAAGGTTGGCTGTTTTGAGTATCCCCAGAGGCACCTCAGTAGAAAGGCCTGGAGATCTGCGTCTGAAACATTACAGCTATGGAAAACCCTGTGGAGCACAGTTCTGCTCTTGACACCCTTGGGGTTGCCGTGAGTTAGAATTGATTTAACAGCAGCTACTCGGTTTAGATGAGGTACAATCCTTAACACATTGTAACAGACACTATCAATCCCAAACCAGTGGCCCATTCTTTCCCCTTGTTCAAAGAACCGATTTTGTTCAGGTGTCAGAAGGATTCATGCTTTGAAGGGTGGGTCCCTTCACAACCTAACAAGGAAACCTTGATTATTTTAAGCCATAATAGTAATTCCATTCTGTCTGTCAGTAATTGGAGATCTGGTGGCTCAGGGGTTAAAGCATTAGGCTGCTAACCAAAAGGTTTGCAGTTTGAACCCATCAACTGCTCTGCAGGAGTAAGATGTAGCAGTCTGCTTCTGTAGGTATTTACAACCTTCAAAACCACATGGGACAATTCTATTCTGTACTATAGGGTCGCTATGAGTCATAATCAACTCGATGGCAGTGGGTTTTTTTTGTTTGTTTTATGTCAATAACTGATTTAGGAATATACATTTATAATGTATTCTGACTAATAAGTAGGTAAAGTTCACCAAGAAGCTTCTTGCAAAAAGGAATACCTTCGAGAGAGAGACAGGCGAATTCCAAATTCCTTCTCTTCTGACCTTTGGACATTCCTGTGCAAATGAATTATGCTTGGAGATGTTGCCACCATCTTACTACATCATGAAGGGTTGACCCTGAGGATAAATACTCACAACAGAAAATGGACAAGCAGAAACACGGAAAGAACCTGGGCCCTGATAACACTACTGAGATGCTCAATTCACCAGCTGTGGATTATACTACAGACTTCTTGTGAAAGAAAATTTCCTTACTGTTTAAGACATTTGAGGAGCCCTGGTGGCACAGTGGTTAAGAGCTTGCTGCTAACCAAAAAGTTGGTAGTATGAACCCACCAGACACTTTATGGGAGAAAGATGTGGCAGTCTGCTGCTATAAAGATTATAGCCTTGGAAACCCCATAGGGCAATTCTACTCTGTCCCATGAGTCACTATGAGTCAAAATTGACTCAGTAACAGTGGGCTTGGTTGGGTTAAGACATTTAATTAGGTTTTTTGCCCTTTGCAACTGAATACATATTGGTATTACTGTTCTTTAATCAAAACAAAATACAAAACTGAAGAATGTACAAATTCCAATAATTTCTTCATGACTATAAAGACCTTGTTCTTCTCACGCAGGCTGGAGGCAGGAATTTTGCAAACTACACACATAGTTGTAGCTTTACCAGAACCGCTCTAGATTTGCCTCGTACTTTCCCAATCACTGAACACTCCAAAAGTGAATACGCCTGTTTTATTTTCAGCATTGTTACTCACATTCAGAAATGTGATGCAGAGTACTGATTTGTTGCTCTGGAAGTGTATACAGGAGTTCGGCTCGTAACATTCCTTTCTAACTCTTCATACAGGGCTTCCCAAAATGTTGTCTGAATATGTATTCCAACTTTCCAATAAGGGGGAAAGCTCTTGGACAGGAACTGGACTTGTTTCTTTTCTACCTTCTCTCCACACCTGCGTACCTATCCACAATCTGGTATTCCATAATGTAGAAGCAACTCCTAGAACTCTGGAGAAAGCTTTCATCTAAACATCACACTTCCGTGATAATTAAACAACCACAAAGGTATGAACATTTTAATAAAATGAATTTATTTAAAAGGAAGACTATAAAATTTGACACTGAGATAGAATTTTTAAAAAAAGATCCACAGAATTTAAATTGATAAATACAAAAATGATTGGCTATAAACAATGTAAAAATACATTTCCCTGCCCCCAAACAGAACATAATTTAAGTATAGCAATTATAAAATTTTTGTATTATAAATGCATTTACTTCCCTTATAATTCTTAAGAACCATTATATACAATTTGTATGAAATAACCAAAGTTACCATAGATATTAATAAAAAAGTATTTTAAATGTATTGAGTTTGCCCTTTTCTGTATATAACAGTGGTTTTCTGGCCCCAAGTTTTGCTTAAATTTTTTAATTGCCATAATAAACTTTTCACTCCTAATTTCTTTCACAACAGGAAAGGCTAATTAGTCATGGATCCCATTAAAAACAACATAAAGGAAGGCTCTAGAGTGGCCAAAAACACCAGTAAACATATAATATTTCTGAAAAGGAAAGGATCAAGTGGCCTGCTAAGAAGCCCACTGTTGCACCAATAAAACAAATGAAGGAGAAACCTCAGAACAAGTAGAACTTAAGCTCAATGCCAATATGCTGTATGTGTGAGGCCACCTAAGGATACATCCATCAATCTCAATTAAGCCCAATGCATGAGTGGGGACCCTGAGATAGCCCAGATGGCTTGAAGTGAATTTTAGCTGGTTCTAGTGACATTAAAAATGACAATGGAACAGTTTGATATGTAATTCCAGAACTTGCCCACCAGAAATCCTGTTTATTTTTGAATCAGTCTTTGTTCTTGGACTTAAGATCTGTTATTTCTTGTCTTTTAGATGACAGCCTCAGTGAAAACAACCACCTTGGTAAGTTTCGTTATCTCCCAAGTAAGTAGTGTTGACATCAACACTAACACTAACATCTAAGCTCTGACACAAATGGACAAGGTCCTGAGTCAGTAAGATGGAGCAGAAGCTATGTCTAGCCATACTGACCAATTTCTGAGAACCACACCAGCCATACTACATATAATAAGCTAATACAGCTGAAGCCCATCTACAACACACAAATGGCAGATGCGAAATTAAAGAAAGATGGGATCATTAAATTTTATCACTGGAAACATGATTCCAATGTTTCAAATAGAAAACTAGCCCAGGAAACCTCCACCAAAGTAATGAAGGAACTGACACGTGGACTCATTACCTTAATATTATAGTCTCGAGTCAAGAATCTAAGAGGAGAATAAGAAAGATTTAGTCTGTGAACTAACTGGACAGAAAGGTCTTATCCCAAGTACCCTATTCACCTGGCTCTAAGGAACAGACGATTCTTCCAAATTACCAAAACTGGTTATAAAGTATCTCCTAAGAATAGTTTGACTACTCCCCTAAATCATCAACAATATTAATCTGGACAGGATTTCCTAGATATTCACTTTATTAGAAGGTCTCCTCTAAAGAAGATCCTAACGATCTTGCTACCCACCCTCGGCAATTAAAAGGGCCCAACATTCTGGACCACCTAAAGACAACTGACAATGAGAAACATTCAGAGTAAGGCCCACCTCTGCCAGGCAACAAAGCACTGTATGGACCATTCTGATAAGACAGAAGAGGGAGCATCTTGAATAGACGAAAAATCAAAGGCCAGAATGACTGACTTCTTAGATGGAGTTTTGAAAGAAGACTAGCTCCAAAGAAAACACTAAAGAGGGCTTGTTTTCTAAGTCACAGTGTGAACTCAACTCCTTCAGACAAGTGGTAAATATGTGAAGCTTATTTTTATAATTACTTTCACTATATTGGGCAAAAGGTTTATCTTTTCTGTCTTTGGTCCTTAGGCCTAACATTAGCTTTGATTTTTCTGTTACATCAGTTAACAATCTTACTATTTTTACTTGTATCATCAACCACCACCAACATGCAGTACAAACATGGGGCTGCTGATGTTGCTTTTATACACTTAAAATATCAATGACTCTCATACATAATTTATATTAGGCTATACTAAGGTCACACAAAGAGTTAATAATAATTATCCCAAAATATCACAATATAATTTTAAGGCTAAGTGAGATAAAACCTGGTTATTACATTTTAAGGGAAAAACCCAGACCAACATTTTAAGTTATGATTCTTAAATAATACATTAAATTTCATCGAACAGAACATAATCTAATCATTGTCTATTTAGTTTCTTTTACCAAAAAACAAATTCATAGCTAAGCAAACTTAAAAACAAAATAAGGTCTAAAAGGAAGAACACAGTTAATTATGCTGTTTATACAGCTATTAAGCATAATTTGGAAGCTAAACCTAGTAAAACACCTTATTTAAAATTGACAGAATAAATTATCATCAGTTATCTACATGATTTAAAGAAATAACTGGCCTTGCTCCCTCCCCCGAAAAAATTTCCATCTGAGGAATTTCAACTGCTAAAAAAAGATTTAAAAACCAAAAACTCTTTATTCTAATTTTGGTCACTTAACACAGTCCAATATTGACACAAACTGCCTTCCCGTCCTTCCACATGCTCTCCAAAAGACGTGGTTTAAACAATTACATAAATTCTTCAAGAGCTTCTGCCAGGGCTCAGGAATCACGCAGAGTCACTACTTTATAAAACATCTGGTCCCCACAGTTAAGTGGTGCAGTGAACATTTAGTGGTTCAGTGAGGGCTTCTGCCCTAGTGGTAACCTCAGGCTTTGTCAGCTGGGCCTCCTGTCGCTTTTCATAGAGCATAATGACAAAGTCAAACAGAAACATAAAACTTGCCAAAAACCCAAACACCTGAGGAAGAAAAAGAGGGCAAGGTTATTTGAAGAATTCTGGAATATAATCTCACATTTCCTATTTGGCTCTAAGAATTTCATGCACGCCAGATGATTCATCATTTTATTTATACACAATACCCTGAACTTTAATGGTACTTTTTAAAAAGTCACCAAAAAATGAGGGGAAAAGTTACAAAAAGTTTTCCAGAATAAGCAAAGTCCCACAAAAAACAAATGTCCTTGTCTTGTGTATGTGTGTGTGTGTGTTTGTGTGTACGTGTATGTGTACCAGAACCAAAACCAAACCCACTGCCATCAAGTTGATGCCGATTCACAGCGATCCTACAGGATAGAATAGAACTCCCTTATAGGGTTTTCCAAGGCTGTAAATCTTTATGAAAGCGAACAGCCTCATCTTTCTCCCACAGAGTGGCTGGTGAATTTGAACTGCCGACCTTTTGGTTAGCAGCCAAATGCTTTAACCACTGCACTATCAGAGCTCCTGTGCATACGTATTAAAAAAAAAAAAAAAAA